TATTTGAAACGGAACGGCCAAAATATACATATTTCTTTATATTAAAATTATTTGAAAATATTTCAAGAAGATATTGATTATTTTCAAGTGTGAACAAAACGCACGGAGTGGTAAAGTGTCACATTTTTCAATTTAAACTAGCCTATTGAGTAGAAAAATCTTGTGACAGTAATGAACAATCAAAAGATCGTGATATCGGTTTAGCCGTTCCAGCGATAAGCCCGGACAGACAAAAACTGCTTAAACAATGGAATGGACTCTTGTGCCATGTATAACCATACAATGTGGAAAAATATGATAATAACCATATAAAATGTTGTTTTGAAATTTCAGACACACTTCAATTTTATGTGTAAAGAGTATGAACAGAATTCAAAGTGGCCAATTGTTTTGTGAAGGCGGATGCTAACAGCATTCAGGGGCAATTCGTAGCACTTCTGAATTTAAGGTAGATAAAAATACATTGCCTTGACCGTACTTCGGAAATTTCATTAATTTTTCATTTCTGTATTTTTGTTCCCTTCTTCTGTAATGCTTCTCCATCATCTAAATCACGTAATGCTTCTCTATGCTTATCATGTAATACTTCCCTATCAAGTAAATCAAGTGTTAAAAACATATTCTGAGATAAAATAATCCATCATTCGCATTCCTAACCGCTCTTATACACGCAAAGGGCAGTATACACTTCAATGGATAACGACCTTAATTGTTCCTATGAAAAAAATGAAAAACCAGCAAATGCGTCACACTCTACATTCGGAGAAACAATCAGCAAATTACATCGTACGCGCGAGCCACACGTCAAAGAGGAACTTAACCGGCGAGCACCATCTTATTTACAGAGGAAGAGCAAATAGTGCACAAGGGCTTCACCTGCCGATAAGGTGCAACGGCGCACACTCCGCGGCGACGTTGCGGAACATTTTTGCGGCCGCGCGCCTGTCTGGCAGGCGCTAAGCGCGAATCCGCGACGGCGGCGGCGGCGGCGGCGGGGAAAGGAGGTCGAGGTCGGCGAAGTTCGCGCATCGCGCAGAGAAATTCGCCGCCGCTCCCGCCCGGGCCATGCTGGACCCGGCCGACGAAAACGAACGCTCGTCCCCTCTAGATCTGGAGGCAGATTTTAAAAAAACGGCAACTTCCTATACAGTCGAATTCATTTTTTCTCTGTGTCATTAACCCCGGATCCAACCATTGTTGATTGATTGTTAGTGATTCCGAGCACGTAAACTACTAAGGTAATTAATCCCGTGAGTGTAGTGTATATTTTTTCCTGGCGGGATTTTCACCCGCTGGATGGCGAGATCCGGCGCCGACCTACCGTCGGCTGGCGGGGTTTTCCCTAACCGGGTATTTCGCCCCAGCCGGGACAATCTTTAAGCTCTCGACCGGTCTCCCTGCCTGTGTGGTATTGTAGTGCGTGTTACTTTAATGTGTATGTATGTAATTAAGGGATGAGGATACAACAAGGAAGAGGAAGGAAAGAACGCGCGCGATCTATGGCCGGGTACTGCTCCGATATTTGGCTGGTGTTGATCGGAGAAACCATGGAAAACTACCCATCAGAGCAGCCGGTCGCTAGAATTCTCCTCCAGACGGCGATTGAATTCGACCTCACAAGCTAGTGTCGAAAATCCTGCCTCCGACGGAACTCGAGCCTGGGACCTTTCGGTCAGAGGCACTGCAATGACATCAGTTGATGCACTGAACCACTACTCCAAGTGGATCGCGCCCGAACGACATGGCCTCATTGTACATTTTATGATAATTAGTAACTATTTGTACATCGAAAGGGTATTTTTTAGTATTAATCGCATGTTTGTACAATGGTTAGTAATCTTAGACCACACACAGATACACATAGATTCAAACCCCCAGTCCAACGTGAGATTCGAACCCTTGCCCCTTTGAACCGAGATAGTGAACGTGCTCCCACCTTAGTGATCTTCATTATCCCTTCATGATCCGCTTGATAGTCAAATTACTATTGAATTTACGTAATTTCACGAGATGTTTTGATGAAGTGCATTTTTCTATTATTCAAGGATACTAGAGATTTTAATTGCTTGAAAATGATTGGTTGCATCATTCGCAACAAAAAAAATTAACTGCAATGAAAACGTAAAATATAAATTCATTTTATTTCTTTGTCCATGGAGTAAATTACCCATCAAAGTTGTTCAACAAGTATTCTTAATGTTAGTTCGTTCTATTACAAAGGCATTCTGTACTGTAACAGCGAACGTCGCTTATCTGGAGAGTTGGAAGATGGTGGTCTGCTAACGACTGAGCTTATGCATTCACGGAATTGGTAGAATTTATGATCGATGGACAGAAAACTGAATTGATATTAATTTGATATTAGCCTGTTATCTCAGATTCTTCATAAAGTGTTATAAACAAGTGGGAAAAGATTCATATTAAAATCATAAGAAGCTCTATGTGATTCAAAAATAAACTTTTTGTGGGTATCTAGTCAGTTTAAAAAGTATCAAGGTTAATCGCAAATTATGCATCCATCAATATATTTTATTATACCAAACTGAATTCAGCATTTGGTAACACATATATCTTCTGGCTGCCACTGTCGAGTCATCTAATGCTAACATGTTCCAGGAACAGCTTCTGTGCATTTCTAAAGTAAAAAAAGAGTCTTGCGCAAGATGCATTTCTCAATACATCTGGTTTCTTCCAGTGCAAGTCGACAATTTGTCACTTGGACGTTAAGCTAAACGATATGGTGCAGCACTCATGATTCCTACGATCCAGTCAAAAATTGGTGCTTGCGTGGCGCTGGGGAGCCTCCACGAGAGAGTCAGCGAGAAAGTCTTCGTGGTGCTTGCAATTCGCAATCGACCAATTAGCATTCACATCTCGCTCTATCTCTGGCCGCAGCAACAGCAAGAGTACGGCTTGACAATGACCTTTTTCTGCGCCCGAAAGGCACTTCACGGTCATACCACTTTCGCGATTGCAGGAATGTCCGTCAGAAGTCTACTCGTCAATAACAATTTGATCGTTGAGGTTTTTACATATTTAAAGGTCAAGAAGCGAATGTTCATTTCTGTTCAATGTGGATAAAAATTAAATTAATATCTTCGAACTAAAAACATGTTACCATGATGTTTTTACCAAAAATTTAATTGTTTATGCTTATCTTTGTTGTTGGAGTGGGAACGAAGTTAATCCTGTAGTTTACAAGACATTTCGGGTTTACAAATACCTCATCTGATATACATTTTTAATCTGCACTTCACGTTCACGAGCCTACAAGTTTTAAAGCAGTACGTTTTATTATATCTTCCATGCTAGATTTTTTTCATCATTGCTAAATGGCCCTGATTTCCATGACAAAACGCAAGCAATGGGGCAAGAATGAAAGTTTTTCATTACTTAGTCTTGCAAAATTCAGAGATAAAATTGAAAATATATCAGACTGGTGTTGCAAAATAAGACTCATAAATTGAGTAATAGCATAACAGATGTCTATGACTCAAGAGTTCATGCTGTAATGAAATTATATGTAACGTAATACTACTTCCAAATTAGGTTAATCTTACTGTAATATTCCATTTTTTTAAAGACTTTGGGAGATCCATTTTCTTTTTATGTAAACACATGACTGGTGATAATTGTGGAAACAGAAGTATTTCACGCAGTTGGTCTCAAATGCAACTCTTATCCCACGAATGCAATTGTATATACAAATTTTCAATTTCGTTGTTTTCTTTACAGTTGGTGTTCCTCAGGGCATAAAACTACAAGTAATTTAATATTATTGCATTAGTCTTAAATATTTACTGCTCAGTACTGACAAACGAAAAATTTCTCAGATAGAATGTAACAAAATTAATCAGAAATGGTTTCATAATCCATTGATATACTGGTGTGACCAGCGCGTCCTCTATTATTTTAATTAGTCCCGTAAGAGTAGAGAATTGTATCTCGGTAGGTGACTTGTTTCTCCCCTGAAAGAACGTGCGATCAGTAGTGCTTACCCACACTTTGGCTTGCGGGGCACTTCCCCTCCAGGTATCTCCCCCAGCGGACACCGCCCCAGTGGATGTAAGCTCTAACCTCTCGACGTTAGTGGTAGTGTTGTGCTTGTAAGTGTGAGTGAGTGTGCTGGTGTAAGGGGAGAGGCGGGGACAAGTACGAAGGAAGAAACATTATGCGGGATCCGTGGCCCTTTTCTTTGGGCACTGCTCCGTCAGTCTCCTGATATTGATGAAACCACGGAGAACTACTGATCAGGACTGTTGAACTCTAGAATTCCCCACACAGCGGCTGAATTGCACTCAGCTGTCTAGCCACTGACAAAAATGCACTGCCGTCGGTACTCGATTCCTGGGGTCTCCCAGCCAGACTCGTTGCAGTAGTAAGACTTGTTACTAGATTTCTCAATCGTTGAACTGATTTCATAATTAAAAAAGATAATTACAACCAGCATTCATCGTACTTTCGTACAAAATTATCTGTTATAAATAGCTTTCCATATAAAAGGGATGATTACTTTACAGTGATTGGCATTCCTCTTAATTTGGAGATTATGCAACTTCGAAAAAATATTGAAAATTATTTCAGTTCGGAAATAGTTCACAGAAGAATTGTAGTTTCCTGAATGCTATTTAAAGTGTATTGTGGTTAAATTGACGCTATTTCCACCATGTCATTTAATATATAATTTTTTGTGAATATAATTTTATGAATGACGTCATTTGACGTGAATGACATTTTATGAATCACAATTTTAAGAATTATTTTAATGAATCACGTTATATAATTTTAATGAATCACGTCATGTACTTAATTATATTTAATTAATATGACATTGTTTTGAAATGAAACATCCAACATTGTGTATTAACTACTGTGAAATTCATTAAATTATGAAAAATTCATATCTGGACTGGGGAGATAAATATGTGACTCCAGCCAGGATTTGTCCCTGACGTTGCGAATAGTCCCCGCGAATGCATGGCCGGCCTCTCCTGTTGCAGCGGCAGCGAGACCGCGGTGGATGAGAGCCCCGCCTGGCTGTCCAATGACTTCCTGGCGGAGGTGCTGCGCCCCGAGGGCGGGGCCGGCGTGGGCGTGGGGCCGCACGACGTGAGCGTGCTCTCGTGGCACGTGCAGCCGGCCGTGGGCAAGGGCGACAACTTCCTCAGCACGCTGTACCGCGTGCGCGTCGAGTACCGGCAGGCGGCCGACGCGCCCGACTCGGCGCCCCGCGCCGTGCAGCTCATCATCAAGGTGCTGCCGCAGGTACGTGCTCGCTGGCTGGCGCCGCCCGGCCCTCCTCCCCCCTCTTGCTCTTGTTCCGCGTTCTCGCTTCAATTCCTCGCTAATATTCTTGTTTCCTTCTATACATCTCGTTCCTCGAATTTGGTTTAGATTTTCACTTTTCCTTTTGTTCCGCTTGTTCCCTGTTGTTATGTTGTTCCCTTCACTCTCTTGGGTTCCTCTCTCTTTTGGTTTCCATTTCTTCTCTCGTTCCCTGTTTTGTCCCTCGTTTCTGAGTATTTGTCTATTCTGTCCTTTTTCTCGTTCTCCGCCCTTTCTTTGTTCTCTGCACTTCCGTCGTTCTCCGCCTCTTCATTCGTTCAACGCTTCTTCTCTCGTTCCATGATTTTTCTACCGTTCAATACTCTGTCTCTCGTACCATGTTATTTCCATCACTTCACTCCTCGACCTTTCTTGTTACACTTGCTCCTCGCTTTGTACTATAAAGGTGAGGACCTTGACTCATAATCCAATTTCTCCTTCGAAATTTATTAAAAATGTAGTTAAAGTTAACGTGATTCAAACCATGGTTCATACTATTAAAACAATGTAAAGTTTTTAACTCGTTCTCCAAGGGATTTTAAAGAATTTCAAATTATGCAAAATTCGAAACAAAAGAACAAAATCTAAAAAAATATAATTAAAAAAATGTATTGACCAAAAAGCATTTCGGTTTTCTCAGAATCTGACATTTTTTGTTCACTAAATGTAATCAATTTATGTAAATTATTGGAGAAAAGAAATTAAAAAATTAAAAACATTTTACCTTAATTAAGACTACTAGGAATCTTTGAACTTCCCAATAAAAGTTAGGTGTAAATGATTCTAACATCACAGCAGTAAACATGGAGTTTTCTAGTAGCTTCTTCAACAATAATTCATTTGCTGTTATGTTGCATTCTTAGAACAATAAATTTAACAATAATTAGGTAGTTTGGCTAATTTCAATATAAGTTTTTCCTTTGAAATATAAAGTAGAGATATTAGAATTATTCAAATCTAACCTTCAAAAATTGAAATTTAAGTTTTTGTTGAAAACCTGTTTAAATGAAAAATTGAAAGGAAGAAACTTCTCTCCAACGTAATAAATAAATCGAAAGAATATTATTTTACAAAATCACAACTAAACATGTCCGATGTTGATAGTATATAAAATCTACCATCTTCCAAAACACCAGATCTAGTGACGGCAGATGCTTTTTCAATCCAACTCGCAAAATTTGGGTTCCCCAAGGAAACAATATTTTGGCATTTTTCTCTCCTTTTTAATGACTTGCGAGATTCGACAAGATTTTTCAGAATTATTTCGGTACAAATCCCAGAACTCCGACAACAATCGGTACGAACTGCGTTTTTACTTCCCACACCCATCTGATCTTGAGTTTCAAACTTGCAGCCGTTTCTCTGCCTCCCTGATTACGCCGCCATGATCTTATAAGAAGCAACAGTAATATGTATGCACGATTCTTAACAAATCCCGAATAACAATGTCACGTTGGTCAGCTGCTATTCAAATACGAGTACGGATTTGTCATTTATTTTGTACACAGTCCAAGAGAAGAAACAGGTTTTGGAAGGGTTCGCACCACTTAAGCGTCTCTTTTTAATGCTAAGGTCACTAATGATCCGTCAATGGACGTAACTAGGAACTACAACATAAGATAAGAATGGAAATTAGGATTCATTTCACAGTGGCGCTCCGAAAAGGGGGCGGGGGCTGAGGCAAGGGCCCCGACTTAATTGGGACTCAATTTTTTTATCCAAACTATATAAAATACGTATTTGTATCTAATTCAAATTATCCGCTACAGGTTATTTCTATTGCATGGAGAGATGAATTCTGTTTATGTATTGGGGAAGCGGGAAATAAACTTGTATTTCAAATAACAGGTCTCCGTCTACTTCCCAATGCATCTTGTTTTCTCTGGGCGCCTCTGATAATAAGACGAAATAATATTCTATTTGTATCTCTTTTCTCGCGTAGTAACCTACGGTTTTTTCTCCATTCGTTATAAAATAAGTATATGTATTATCGACATCTTATTCTCTCAGAGAATGAACCGAGCTCAGATAGGCTCTCCGACTGTGATTACCTTCTCGTATGTAGTACATCTGTACCCTAACAGCTGTAAAGTGCAGTTTAAATATGTTTTAAGAATGTGCAGTTACCATTTCGATGAGTAATGGTATTCCACCTCACATAATTCTATCACGTCGGAACTTTATGCTTAATGAAAGCTTGCGAAGATATTTTGATTAGTCACATTCTGATTTAAATAATGTAAAGGTTTGAATTGTTATATAATGTTACACACGGACCTCTGATGCACACAAACATTATAGATTTGAATAAAATTTTGAATTCGTAAACCATAATTTCCCCTTGCACAAACGTTCTTAACATATACGTTAAAATATTCCAAATGCGGCAAATATCCCAAATGCGGACGCTAACAAACCTGCCGCTCGTTTAAATTCTTAAATCTACAATGCTGAATGTCGTTTCAAGAAATGATGTTGCATTTTTAGTCTTCCTCGTCCTACTTGACGTTTTGCTACTTGAGCATGGCCTAAAATGGATAATACCCTCTTCACTACAGCGCGACTAGCATGGACTAGTATGTTCAATACCATCTACTGATGATCCGGCAGTCGTCCCAAAACAATGCAGCTGCACCCGTGACGTAGTGTTCGGGCCCGCAAGGCCCACAATGCGGGCGGGCCCAGGTAAAAGAGAGCCTATTTTTAGGCAAAAGGTTTTTCGTTCGTAAGAGCATTAAATACTTGATACTTTCTCTGATACTTTACTACCTGTAACAATAAAAGATTAAATCCTGTGACCATCTTCCACAATAACGATATATTTCCGCTTCGATAGCTTAACTAACCCTGTTTCTAAATCAATAAATGAAAACAATTTATTTAGGTTTTACAACAGTCTTAATTTAATAAAATTACTTAATAATATGTTTTTCCATTATTGGTTATAAGCACCTTCCCATTATTCACAATAAACACGATATACAAACTGACTTTTGATTATTGTTGTTAAAGTTTGACGCTTGCAGTTTTATGAGATCACACTCGGACGAGAGGTTTTTAACATTACATGTGTTTGCCATACACTCGGATAAAAGGTTTGCGGGCGGGCCCACGTTCATTTCCGCTACTGAGCTGTGCTGATAGTTCTGTCGGGTGAGCGGTTTCGAAACCTCCTGCACTTCTTTGCCCGTAGGCACGTCCCGTTAAGCCAGCACGCTTCGCCGACCGTTTCTTTCCCTTTAAGACGTTGGCGGGGCTCTCCTCACAATGCTTTTCGACTCGACTCTTCTAGAGAAGGAAAACCCTTGTCATGTGTCACATACCAGTGCAAAACCGCGGCCATACAAAGGCCGACTTAACGAAGGTCGTTCTGATACTCACGATCTGAGGAACGGCCACCGGGAATGAAGAACACTCCTTTCTTGAGATTGTTTTTAGTATGGAGTGGTATACCAAAAAAAAATGCGTTATCAAATTTAGATTCTTATCAGTTTTCATCACATTGGCAGGGTGTCTCATGACATCAACTGATGTCACTGACCGGGAGGTTCTGGTGCACGAATACCGACGTTGACAGGATTTTCGACGCTAGTCAGATAGCTAGGTCGCTGTCTGGAGGAAAATTGTAGCGACGGTTGATTTGAACGGTAGTCTTCTGTGGTTTCTCCGATCCATACAAGGCGATTGCCGGAGTAGTACCTTATAAACAGGCCATGGGCCGCGCGTGGTTTTTCCTTCCCATTCCCATTGTCCCAACCTCACCCCTTACACCCACACACTTACATGCACTACTCTATTACACATGCCAGGAGACTGGCCGGGAGCTTAGAGCCTGTCCCGGGTGGGGCGGTGCCCCGCTGGTGGGAGATACGTGGTTGGGGAAAATTCCGCTAGTCGACGTAGGTCGGTGCAGGATATCGTCATCCAGCGGGGAACAGCTACCTCTCGAGCAAAAAGCATACACTACACTTACGGTAATAATGACCCTAACAGTTGGCGCGCCCGAAAACACTATCAATCAGTCATCAATTTTCATTCATTGTTTTTTATAAATAATTCAGAATTAAATACATTTTCAGTACTTTCGTCGCTATGATTATTAATATTAATTCTTTGATGCAAAAAGTGAGAATCACATGAAGTTGTTTTAAATGGTTTTATTGCATAAATATGTATGTATTGAAAGATTAGAATATTACAATAGTTAAGAGTGCATATTGCTAGTGTATTCAATAAATGGATTATCTGCACATTAGAAGTATTCTCAAAGGTTGACGGTTGTTGACACGCATGTTTCATTTCACACTGTGATCATTTACGGAATATTCATAAGAGAAAATTGCAAATAATCAATTCATATAAAAATATTTTCTGAGTGTATTTCAATGAAGTCTTTTATTCTAGTCTTGCACTTATATTACCCATATTTTATTTACTATTCCATACCTCACAAATTCATGATTTGTAGACCCTGGATATCTAATTCAGTTTCCCAATCTTCTCATTATTAAGATACCCCTGACCACACTTTTACATATCATGGTAGTCTTGAGTACGCCTATTTTTTATGAGTGTGCATTTGCACGCTGCCAGTACGATGGAAACAGTTTGTGGACTTTACGAACCTGCTCTCACGTGATCAACAACAACATACGGCAATATGTTACCCTCCGAGCTTTGTGAGACGATTGATTACTGCACATGAGATTCATACGTAATTTTGCTTTAATATGTAAGAGTATCGCAAGAAAAAGCCAAATTCTGTTCCAACTATAACGTTTTGGTTTTCTGAACCTTGAATTCTGTTTTATTTCACTCGTATTTCGAATCGAGATAAATAAAAAATCGATTATTTTATATTATTCTTTTCCCCATCCAGGTATTGATTTTATTGTGATTTGTGAGCTGTAGCCAACTGTTGGCTGACGTCGCAATCCCGAAAGAATACTAGAGAGCTTCGAAGCAATATTGGAATTTATGAGAAAAAACTACGTACAAAAAACGACACACACATTTTAGAAAATGTATAAAAATCAATCTAAAATGCGCATTACCACATCCAAAATAACATAATAATTATATTTTTTTTCAAAAGAACGTCAACTAGGAATCTCCCACCCACGAGGTACCGCCCCAGTCGGGATATGCTCGCAATTAGTCCCCCGACATGTATGGTAGTGTAGTCTACGTAAATCTGTGTGTAAAGGGCGAGGATTCGTAGGACAAGGAAGAAAGAAAGATCGCGCGCGTTCAATGGCCTAGTCGTTACGGGACTGCTCTGGAATTCGTCTGTACTTGATCGGAGAAATCGCGGATCAGCAGCCGATCACTAGAAGTCACCTCCAGATAGGCACTGAATTCGACCTACCTTTATAGCCAGTGTCGTCGGAACCTAGGTCATCACGGTCAGCGTAAGTTCATGGTGTTCTTAGTGATGAAGCAGCATCACATGAGCAAAATGAGCAGACCGTGTATCGTGAGATGTCAGCGAAGCAAGAGTATAGGCATCCGGTGTAAACTACAAAAAATGATTCGTCATAATTCTCGATAACGTAAAATATTATGTAAGCAGGAAATGATGCTTGTGAAGGTAAGATACTTCCTGCGGTTAGCATTATACGCACGCTAGGCAGTTTCTTTGTGGTTGTTTTCGAAATACTGCTCTTTTACATCTACTCTGCAGCATCAAAAATAGCAGTGGGGGTATCCAAAGTTATTTATAAATTCTTGCATCCTTCGTAATGTAATGCAACAGGAAAAAGCTCCAACTTTTTGACAGAAAGCACGTTTTATGTGTCACTACATGTACCGAACAACAATTTTGAAAAACTGGAGGGTGGTGGCGTAATTCTGGCTTCAGATTCGAATTTAGCGACAGTCGACATACTTAGAGAAACTCGTGTTAAACCTTTGAGTCTGACAGCTACCTCTGAAAACAAAAAACAATGTAATTATTTTTTTGTGGTTTTTAAAAAACGGGGGAGAGCAATTCTAGTTTCACATTCGGATTCAGCGTGTCGAAATACATAGAGATACTATGTTTTAAGTCTTCGGATCTGGCTACCTTTTTGTATGTGTGCCTGTTTAGTTGTAGAGAGCGTAGCATAGTATGGTTGCGGTAGAGTGAATCACGGAAGAATACAGTAAAGGTAGTTCTTCATTATTATTACTATTATTATTATTATTATTATTACTGTTATTATTATTATATGAGGTCCCATTAAGAAAAGTTGGGTCGATACTTCTTGAATAAACAAAGCTGTATGATATTATTATACGTTCCCTCTTAAATGTTCGCTTTAGCGTATCTCAATATCGACAACGGTCAAGGAGATATCTTACTTGAGGTACCTACAGGAATATAGTATTTATTATTTACAGAATTAAATTCACATTTGGAAATTGAGAGGTTCCATTGATATATGGCACGTACGTTGAATATTTCAATACTATCAGAGAGGCCCAGTGGCTAAACTGGCTCAGGATGCACTGAGTTCAGCCACTCGCTGGAAGAGAATTCTAGCGGCCGGCTTTTCATATCGGAAATTGCCGGAGAAGTATCGTAAAAACGAGCCATGGATCACATGAGATCTTTTCCTTCCCCTTCATTATGCTATCTCCATCCCTTACTTACGCACACACACTTAACATTCACTACACTACTAGACATGCCGGGAGAAAAGTAGGGAACTTTGAGCTTGTCCCAGGTGAGGCGGTGCCTCGCTAGTGGATGGTTGCGGAAAACCCTGCTAGCCGAAGTTAGGTCGGCCCCGGATCTCCCCATCCCGCTTCGTATGGTCATACTCAGGGACTCTTAACATATTAATTCGACCCTCATGATAGCCGATTATGTCATTACACTGTTAATTACGTACAAATATTGACTTTTAATTTTTGTACAATTCTTCTAAGCACAAAAGACTATTAATTTCTCGCCACATTCCATAATTTGGTCTTGATGAGGGTTTCTGAAGATATAAGTCGTACCTTAATCACGATCCTTTGTGTCATCCCATTAGTAATTAATAAAAACATTAACTTTAAACTTTTGTTAAATTCTTCTAACATCATAAAAGTACTATTTTCTCGCCTCACCCCATAACTTGGTCATGCTTAGGGACTCTAAAATTATCAACCCGGCCCTAATCATAATCTGTTATGTCGTCTCGCCATTAATTACGTACAAACATTGACTTTTAATGCTTGTTAAATTCTTTTAACGACATAATAGTACTATGTTTTTCGCACCACGCCCATAGCGTGGTCATGTTTACAGCCTCTTGAAGTTGTTAATTCGGCCCTAATCACTACCCATTATGCCATACCATTATCAATTACATACAAATATAGACTTGTACCTTTTTTAAAACGCTTCTAACTTCATAGGAGTACCATTTTTTCGCTACATCCTATACTTTGGTCATGTTATCAACCCGCCCCTAATCATGGCCCATTAAGCCATCTCATTATCAATTGGATAGATATATAGACTTAACGTGTGTAAAATGCTTCTAACCTCATAGGAGTACCATTTTCTCGCTATATCCTACACTTTAGTCATGCTATCAACCCACCCCTAATCACGACCCTGTCCCTTCGTCATCTCATTATTAAAGGAAGTGTTGAATGCTAAAGCGGTGGGTGTGCTGCGCGCAGGGCGACTACCTGCAGGAGTTCATCCACGAGGCGCGCTTCTTCGCGCGCGAGATCAACGCGTACCGCGAGGCGCTGCCGCAGATGGCGCGCTTCGCCGCGGCGCGCCTGCCCGGCGGCGGCGGCCCGCCCTTCTCGCCGCGCTGCTTCCCCACCGCGCGCCCCGACACGCTCGTGCTCGAGGACCTCGGCACGCACGGCTTCAAGATGGCCGACCGACGCAACCTGCTCGACCTGCCGCACTGCAGCCTGGTGCTGCGCCGTCTCGCGCGCCTCCACGCCACCTCCTTCGCCTACTCGGCGCACGACCGCGCCTTCCTCGCGCGCTTCGAGGTACGCTCGCGTGGTGGGGGTGCTAGCAGTAATAGTAGTGGTGGTGGTGGTGGTGATAGTAGTAGTGGTGGTGATAGTAGTAGTGGTGGTAATAGAAGTTGTGATGGTAATAGTATTGGTGGTGGCAATAGTAGTAGTGGTGGTGGTAATAGTAGTTATGGTTGGTAATAGTATTGGTGGTGCTAATAATAGTGGTGGTGTTAATAGTAGTGGTGGTAATAGTAGTTGTGGTGGTGGTATTAGTAATGGTGGTGGAAATAGTAGTGGTGGTGGTGATAGTAGTGGTGGTGGTGATAGTAGTGGGGGTGTAATAATGATGGAAGTGGTGGTGTTGGTAGATGAATGTGCGTGAAATTCGTGTAATGGGTAGTGCTAAGTAGTACTGTAATAATGGTAGTTGTAGTGGTGATGCGTGTTAATAGTAAATGATGTAGTTGTGCGTAGTGATGTAAATGGTGGTGTTCATGGGAATATAATGATTGTTTAGTTTATTGCTTATTTTGGAGCGGTGACGCTGTGTTGCTGGATGTGAGGGTTACTAGTGTGGGTGTAGGATGTTATTGCTTGGCGTAGAGGCGAGGCATTGCGAGAGGAAATGTAACATCTGATTAGGATGCGTTATCATTCCATCATTTGGACGAATCCAGTGTCGTATCGTCAATTCCTGGTTGTGTAATTTCTAAATGTAATATCTATATAGATGTATAACAGACAGTTTCAGATTTTCAAGTTTAAGAGATACAGATAAGTACTAGGAAATACGTAAAGCGCAAATTTACATTCGACATCCAAAATCGGTTGTGTTAGCCTTTAGGGAAAAAAATAAATTAAAATTGGATGAATAGGTAATGTGAAAAAAGGCGATAAGATATAAATATAAAACGCCTTCTGACACTACGAGACTAATAAAGTTAGAATACAAATGCATTTTTCGCTGTTATTCAGGACGACATCTACAACGACGGCAACCGAGAGATCATGCGGCGGTTCCTGGAACCGCAGATGGAGTGCCTGGTGGAGGTCGCCAACACGTGGCCCAACTTCGAACGCATCGCCAAGAAGATCCGCAAGACCATCCCCAGGGCCGTGGACAAGCTCATTTCCGTGTGTCGAAAGCAGGACTCCGACTGGAAGGTGCTCAACCACGGCGACTGCTGGATCAACAACATCATGTTCAAGTACTCGGAGAAGACCGGCGAAGTGGCGGACCTGCGGTTCATCGACTTCCAGATCACCCGCTTCGCCTCTCCCGCCCTCGACATCACCTACTTCATGTACACCAGCCCGCAGAGCGACGTGCGCGCGAGGCATATGGACAGGTTGCTCATGGAGTACTGCGACGAGTTTCGAAAGACTGTGCGCTCGCTGGGGTACACGGGCCGGGTGTTTTCGCTGAAGGAGCTCCGCGACGAGATGAGGCGGGTGCTGTTTTTCGGCTTCACCACGTCGGTGGGGACGCTCGCCACGGTGCTCGCGGAGCCCGACCAGGTGATGGATCTCTCAGAGATGACTGCCGAGGGCCTCAGCAGCAACGTGGGTGTCAACCCGTTCACCAAACTGCAGTCCACGGCCAAGTTCAGGGACGTGTTCCAGCAACTACTGCCGTATTTTGACCAGATGGAGATATTCGACTGATCGTCGGTCGGTTAAATGTGTCGAAATATGTGCTTCCAAAGTAGGACGCTTTTATGCATGAATGGACGAGAAACTTGATAGTGCCAGAAAAAGACGGATGAATGTGTTTGAAATGAATGAAAGTACTTTTTTAAGAAATTTAAGAACTGTACTGTGGTTACCCAGAGCATTCTCTCTCACAATGATCGTAAATCTCATGCCATTTCATCGCCATAAAAATATATCAAACAATGAAACAGAAGTAGGATGGAAGTATGAACGTCGTAAACACTTTCACTCCGTAATTTTGGGTCGTATATTGAACTAAATATTATTACAGGTAATGTGACAAATGTAACAATTAATTTTATATCTAGAAAGGGTGAAATTGGAAGTGCCATGTTCATTTTTTACACGATCGTCAAGCGCTTCTAACATTTGTGATTTTTCTTCAATTCATTTCTTTTAAATTTTAATTAACCCTAAGGTAGATGAATTTTAGCAAAAACAACATCGCGGTTATTGTCAATCTTTTGTGAAGGTTTATTTAGTAATATAATGAGGTATATTATTTTGTTTTATTCGCCCAACAAAAAATGCAACCAAGACGGAACGTCGTCTTCATTTGTTGAGAAATGTCAAGTGTAGGATATTATGTTTCATACAAATATATATCTCACCATTTAAAAGTCAATCTCTAAATGAAGGACGCTTACAAATGCCACAGCATAACAGCGAACTCGGCAAACTAAATTTTTCAAATAGCGAAATTCCCAGCATTTCTTGTCGTTTACATAACACTTGCCTCTAAAACACTTAATTCAGGGAAATGCCCTGCAAAGCGCCCAACGAAATTACTCTACAAAAATGCTCGGTGCGCGCCGCGTCAGCCGAGTAAATCGCCGTGTGTTGGCTCGTGGCTCTTGCGCAGCACGGTCACCCACACGAAGCAGCAGTTTCGCCCGCTCTACGCTCGGAGACTAACGGAAAAATCAACAAAGGGAAAAAACAAAAACAAGAGAACAAGGAGGCAGAGGGATCGGGAGGGAGATTGGGAGATTGAGACGGAGGGAAACACTGGAAGTTCGAGGCAGAAAATCTTCGAGGGTCAAGAAAGAACTCCGAGACGATCAAATAGGGGACCAAAGGGTTTTCAAAATTACGGAACACCAGAAATCTACCAAATATGCAGCTTCGCGCGCGAATGTGAATGGTGCGTAAAGTATAGGAACATATTAGCGGTCAAATTCTAAACATTTTTTTAACGTCTTTTGACTTGAAATTATTTCAGAGAAAAATTACATTTTAATTTCGTTCAAAAAGTCAGGAATAAAATCAATTAAATAAAAATATTACTGATTCCAACATGAACAACCCATCACAACACTAATTGAAAACTTCGTTTTTAGTCGAGTTGTGATTGGTAGTTACTACATAAATACGCATCCGAAAGTACCACTTAAGTACTTTACACTATTTTAAAGTCCACGAAATAATTATAACAATGTGAATTAATCAGCAAATTAATTTTATATAAATATTATCTTTTTGACTTCTGAAAGCACGCTAAATACGATATGAACATTTCTGTTTATTTATATCTCATCGCAGTTAATCTGTAAGTCAAATCTTTCAATAATTATAAAATTAGAATTGTCCAATAATTCGAATCGTCCAATAATTACTAATCGCGTTATTACAAATTCTAAAGCTCCAATAAACTGAATCCTGTCATGTGAAACGGGCACCTGCACTTATTTGAATGTAACGACATAATTCTTGGGGGATGTGGGGGGTGGGGGGTTGCCCTCGCGGGCCCGTGCGTCCCGTCCGCTTCACCTTCCCTTCACTTCCGCCATTGCGGGAAGAGCAGCCGGGGGAGCGGCCGGCGCGTTGTGCGCGTGTGCGTGCGTGCGGGCGGGGCGGGGGTGTGTAGGGCGTCGGCGCGCCAAGCATGCGCTCGCGGCAGTGCATTCCGCGCGTGCGCAGGAGGCGCCGCCGCCGCCGTCGGCAGCCGTGTCCCGCGCCGCAGCCGGCCGCGCGTGCTGCTCAGCTCTGCGCACGTAACCCCAGGCCAAGAGGCCCGGATCTGCTGGCGGTGTCCGTTTACTGCCCCTCAAGCACACGTTGCTGGAGATCGCTTCCTGTAACGTGCATTCCTGCTTGGCGTGGCGGTTGTATTTCGGGTACAACGGGGCGCTCTTGTCTCCTCCTGGCTAATGGTGACTTCTGAGACTACTGTATAAAACCATTTACAAAGATAAAATACAATTTACAATTATCAGTTTTAAAATAATTGCTTGATTTGGATAAAAACCTGATATTTTGGCAGCTGACAGTGAGCATGCTGCAAAATCTGCGCTCTAAAACGTGTGTGTTTTTACTTATTTTTATCTTCCTTACTTATTTTACTTATTGTCCTTTTAACAGTGCGGTACTTCGGTGCAAGTACCCCTCATAGTTTCTTGAAATTTACAAATGAAGTCATTCTATTTACGTTCTTATCTTTTTGTGTTGCGATTTCGTACATATTTCTAATTCGTACAGTCCCTGAAAATACCATTTAAAATTGCATTATTTATTACACTATTTTGCTTTTTGATTTCTTACTTCACTTATATGAGTTGGCAAACCAAGTCATAGGGTAGCTTGCTGGCTTGTAGACTTGACAGTTCATAGCAAAAACTGCACAGAAAACGTTCACTTTGCGAAGACTACTGCTGACGAACACGTATGAATAGTCGAGAGTCGGTTCATAATGCGCCAAGTGTCACAGTTGTCAGTCATACGCGATCCGTACTTCGATCATGAGAAGCGCCATCAGGTTATTTACGATCTGTCATTTACTCCAATACGATCACTGCCTGGTGATGTAACATGTATTTACGTCATTGCCTAAGAATGAAATGGGAAAACCACACTAAAGTGCAATAATGTATGCGCGTTTGAATGATTCCATGTTTATATATGTATATTTTGTACGAAGTATTTGAACTATTGCAATTTTTTAATAATTGACAATAGTTAGATTCACATAATTCACATATGCATATCAATGCTTGAATCAGTACTTGTAAATGCTCATGTACCTGTATATTTGTATATCAACATATTTTGTAAACTAGTTCTATTAACTCAATGAAAATAAAAAATGTCATATAATAAATATTTTGCTAAAAATTATTAAAAATTTTTCCTAGTAATAAGAAATTTAGGAAAATAATCTACGTGGAAGTAATAGGATGAATACAAAGTAATTAGATTTGTGAATAAAAAGGTTTATCACATTTTGAAAATTTATTGTGATGTTTAATATAGATCCAATTGTCATTCGTTCAGTTGCCATGTTCGGAGGGTGCCCACAAAGCCCACTGTAACATTAAGGAATTCTAAAACTGGCTAACATACTTCGTTTAGGATTTTTATGTCTGTTGAGGGTACATAATTCGCACTAGAAGTCATCTGAGCGAATAAAAAAGCAGATGAACTTGACTGTTCCATTTATGGAACAGTGGGCGTAAATGAGTTAATTTCTTCTTTAATATGAGGTCAAAAGTTGACCTCATGTAATTTAATTGAATTCTCAAATCTGAACACAATATTTTCCATTAAAAATGAACATTTTGATACAGAACGAAAGTATATTGATGATTGTGAAAATAAATGTTTGAATGAGTTAATTGTTATGTTAAAAACTCGAACGTTTGTGAAATAATACAAGTGCTGTAAATTCAATAAGACAATCCGAACTGAATGTCACATGCACTTAAAATACTTCGTTCAAACACAATAGGTACTTTGTGTTAGCATTCTTGGTTATTGATTGTGAAGAGTCGTTTCATCAAGTGCTTCAGTGCTCATTTCATGTGGTATAATTCATCGGGGGCACATGTTGGGAATAATAATTACTAAAAAGATTGAGTAAATCTTTTAACACTATTACAATTTATTGATTCTTTGAATGCTGATCGTGTACTTTAGCTTCTAGGTCAATGACCCCATCTCGATCAGGTTTTCGTCTAGTTTCCCTGATCCTTGAGCAAATGCTGAGATGGCCCCTTGTTTTGCTTCTGGACATTAATGTAACTTCAAATTAACTTCTCCCCATAGCATGTCACACACAGTTCTTAATTGTTTTTGACGTAAATAAATAAATAAATAAATATAAATATACTGTTTATATATCACACTTTACATTTAAAAAAATCCAACTCATAAAATAAAATTGTTTCCTTTCATCGCTTGTAAAAATATCTCTCTCGCGCTTCAACCCACTCTTTAATTGGTAGTTCTATAAACATTAACATTAAATTAATCAGACAGTTATTCTCTAGGTTCACATAACTACGTTATTCTAAAGAATCATTAAAGCAATCTCAGGCGTGCGTAATGAGGGGTGCCCCTTTCGGAAATTTCGAAAGTAGTCCAATAACTGTACCTAACAAAGCATTTTATATCCGTAAACGTGGTTAACTCTTTATTTTCCAATTTTTTAGAGTGGCGAATTTGGGGAATTGGGACACATTTGGAGAAGAGACTATCGAACGAATCTGGTTGTCCATTAAATGGATCATTTTAAATCCAGTTCTGCTTATTAATTCTACCATTTGTTAAAATTTAATTCCCTTTAAAGAATGTTTTATTCATTTTCTATTCAAATGTAATATGTAAATTTAAAAAACGTTTAATAGAAAAGTGGCGTCACCCACTCTTCTTTTAGTCAGCTCATGCCTAAGCTAGCAATTATAAGCAAAACCACAATTGCGCTGCTCAGAACATTCCTTCATTACAGCCCTGTGGTACTCCGTACTCATCTTCGCAATAAAATCAGCATTGCATTTACCTAAGGTCACACTCGAGGATTCAACTCGCGCGCGGGATAAAAGATGTCACGAGCGCTGAAGTAATCAAGAGATTATGCCTGGCCACGCATTTCAACGCACTCTGAGCGCGGTGGTAGGGGTGGGGGTGGAGGGGGTCGTCCCGAGCCCTCAAAGTCCACTCAGCTTGACGCTCTGTCCGAATGATGTCAGCGCCATCAAAGTGATCGCACACGCAAGCACACATACGTGTGCACGCTGGTGCGATGGGCGGCGCGTATGGGGCTCGACTCGCAACGAGCGGAGTCGTGGAGGGTCGTACACGACGCCCGCGCGGCCTGGCGGCCGAGTTGGCCGAAACAAAACGAGCGAGAGGGAAAGCGAAACACACTTGAGGTCAGCGTGATAGGCTGCTACCTCGCGTGAACATACTTCTCCCGTATACCCACAACTACGATAGATGAGAGCAGGGTCGCTAATATACGGCTCGCGGACCACTGCTGGTCTGTGAGATAATTTTGGCGGCCTCAGAAAATTCTGGACTTACACATTTTTTTTAGTTGTAAATATATAATAAATTCAGTAATTCATAAGATTATTTCAACTAAGTAAAGAACAAAATCGCACTAAA